GACCAAATGAAGCATGGCTTTTCTGCCCAAAACCGGTTCCACAAAGTCTTCTATCCTGGAGATAATAGGAAAGTAATCCAATTATTTCCAAGGACAGAGGCAAAACTCAATTAGCCACATTGTAGCAAAAGACAATAAAATACATAAATATATATAACTGTGCAGCTATTGCATAAGTTATATATCCCCAGATAGCTTAGATCTGAGCTCACATTATTACTGAATGGCGCTCAGATCACATACATACAGTTCAATTGCCATGGAGCCAAAGTCTTTCACATAGTCTTTCGTTATACGAATGGGCTCAATGGCAAAGCTATCTGGGGTATCACTGTTCAAATAGGGCAAGTACTGAATGACCCGGCTTTCGTGTCTTTGCACGGGAAAAGCATTTCAACATGGGGCCATAGTCACAGGCAATCAGTCTTCTCCAATGCCCAGTGGCGTGGCTGGTTCCGCCACAAGGAGGATATGCTCTTAAATAGTCCAAGCCTCACAAAAGCTGTGAGTGAGCAGGGAGGCTTTGTTTGTGAATAAATGCTTAAAACTATGTGCAGTCAGCTTACAAAAAATATACAGAGAAGAGGCGAAATGAAGCCTCTCATGAAAAATCTCATGAGCTGAAGCATCTCATGGAAAAAAAAAAAAGTTATTAGTGATTTTCAATGTTTTATTTGAACGTGTAAATTCCAGAAAAGTTCATGTTCCCTTTCCAACATATTTGCCTGGAGATTTAATTCATTAAAGGGTTACTCCAACCACCATGAAAACTTTAGTGAATTGATGTGGACATGGTGGTAGGAGTAGTGTTTCAGCTCGAAGCAGTGCACATAAAGAGATATTCTTAATTGTGTGCTGGAGGCTACTTGCACCCCCAGCACATGAAAAAAATTGGCAACTCAGAACTCTGGGCGCTGCATGTGGCTGACAGACATTAAAATCTTCCCTTTTCAGGCAGAGCACCTATGAGAAGCCTGTGATTGGACTGCAGGCTTTCCATGTGAGCTTTGCCTGGTGCTGGATTCATTGTAAGTAAAGCCGTTCTTTTTTGTTTTGTTTTTTAAATACAGGTTTTACTGCAATCAGAGTGGAGGGACCTTACCTAGAGTGCCCAATAAGGCATTTTACACAGAAAAATGTCCCCGTCATTATAAAGGATTAAACCCTTAACCCTTTAAAAGAACACTATAGTGTCAGGAACACAAACATGGATTTCTGACCCTATAGTATTAAAACCAAGATTTAGGTGGCTTGCCCCTGCTCCTCCTTAAAACATACCTTATTTTCCTCACGTATAGTCAGGGCCGGATTAAGAGCATAGTGGGCCTGGTGCTGACAATTATGATGGGCCTTATTACAGAATCTTATCGACCAAAAACACTAAAACAGTCATACCTCCCAAGCGTCATGTATCTGATGGAGATGGTGCTGGATGGAAACTCATAGGATGCAGCTATAAGAAAACACATACGCTATGCTAATTTCTCTCTAATTTATGCTTTCATCTTTCAAGTAAATCCATAACCCCTAACAGCAGTGTCCAGTGAAGCAGGAAGTCAATTGGCGGGGTAAAAGGGTGTGCCACTGGCGCGAATCACGTGACAAGACCTGCCAAAAGGGGTGAACATGCCCAAAAAGGGGGCATGTTTGTCCAAAGAATTGGAAGGTCAGCCTGGCATGAATGCATGTCAGGCTGCCTGCCAATCCTGCAGGCTGTCCAACTAAGGGCATACAATGCAGGCAGCACCTTGAGCTTGACATAAATGCGTCTAATGATGCGCTCACTCCATTCTTTCTAAGGACTGTCCCCTAGCACTCGCCGGTCCACTTGTCTCCTTACCTTCTTACTAGCAGGCAGAAGTTCCTGGTATAGTCTGAGACAGAGAAAAGGTGTCTGTAGTGAGTGTAGAAGAAAAGGGACATGCCACAGTGTTAGAGAGACCAACGTCTGCATTACCTAAACTAACTTTAATGTCAGCCAGTGCACACAAGTTTTGTTCCCATACATCCCTCTTAAGCTTCCAAACTTAAAAGGACACTATAGTCACCAGAACAACTACAGCTTATTGTATTTGTTCTGGTAAGTAGAATCATTACATTCAGGCTTTTTGCAGTAAACACTGTCTTTTCAGAGAAAATAACTCCACTGGCTGCTCCTTAGATGGCTGCTAGAGGTGCTTCCTAGGGCTGTACTGCCTAGTGCGCAGCACTGCCATTCAGTGTAGAGATGCACTGATTCAATTTATATTTATGAGGAGATGCTGATTGGCCAGGGCTATGTTGGACTTGTGCTGGCTCTGCACCTGATCTGCCTAGTTGACAGTCTCAGCCAATCCTATGGGGAAGTATTGTAATTTGCTCAGACCACCACTTCTGAGCCAGCAGCTGCAGAATTGAATACAAGTAATATTTTACTATATTTAGGGAGGCAAGAAGGGGCCAGGGTGGTGGTTTTAACATAATAGGGTAAGAAATACATGATTGTGTTCCTGACACTATAGTGCTCCTTTAAGCAAGAATATGTGAAGAGTAGTTAAGGTTGCCACATTTCTTGGAAAAAAATACCAGCCTTAATCATTTGCATAATTAATTAGTTATGCGTGTAAATCACAAGGAGTGACATCAGAGAAAATTCTGTAAAATCACCAACAAACTACTCACAGTTTGATTCTGCTGTATAGAATGCTCCCAGTGTCTCAATGTCTCCCAGTGTCTCAGTCTTGCAAGTCACCCTGTGTCTCAGTGTCCCTATGTATCACAGTGTCAGTGTCCCCATCTCGCCCAGTCCCCTAGTCTCCCAGTGTCTGTGTCCCCATTTCCCCCAGTGTCCCAATGTCTCAGTGTGTCCCCATGTCACTAGGATACTGGGGACACAGAGACATGGGGACACAGAGACCCGGGGACACAGAGACATGGGGACACTGAGACATTTAGGGAAACTGGGAGAAATGGGGACACTGAGACACTAGGGACACAGACACTGGGAGACATGGGGACACTGAAACATTTGGGGACACTAAGACACTAGGGATACAGACATGGGAACACAGACATTGGGAAACTAGGGGACACTGGCTGGGAGACATGGGGACAGTTGTGGACATAGACATGTGGACACTGGGACATATAGGGACACTGGGAGACATGGGGACACCAGGCACACTGAGACACTAAGAACACACTGGGAGACATGGAGACACTGAAACATTTGGGGACACTAAGACACTAGGGACACAGACACTGGGAGACTAGGGGACACTGGGAGATTAGGGGATACTGGGATACTAGGGGACACTGGCTGGAAGACAGACACTTGGGGAGACATGGGGACAGTTGTGGACATAGACATGGGGACATTGGGACACATGGGGACACTAGGCACACTGAGAGACATGGGACACAGACACTGGGAGACTTGGGGACACTGAGAACATAGGGACACTGGCTGGGGGACATAGTGTCTCCATGTCCCAATGTCTCCAAATGTCCCTATGTCTCACAGCGTCCCCATGTGTCTCAGCATCCCCATGTGTCCCTAGTGTCTCAGTGTCCCCGTGTTTTCCAGTGTCCCCAGGTCTCACAGTGTCTGTGTCCCCATGTGTTCTAGTGTCTCAGTGTCCCCTAGTGTCTGTGTTCCCATGTGTCCCCTAGTATCTGTGTCCCCTAGTGTCTGTGTCCCCATGTCCCCAAGTGTCTCAGTGACCCCATGTTTTCCAGTGTCCCCAAGTGTCTCAGTGTTCCCAGGTCTCCCAGTGTCTGTGTCCTAGTGTCTCAGTGTCCCCTAGTGTATGTGTCATCATGTGTCCCCTAGTGTCTCAGTGTCCCCTAGTGTCTCAGTGTCCCCATGTGTCCCTGCTGCCTTTCCCCCCATCCCTCACTTACCTGAGCTGTAGAGCTGTTGTCTGGACTCTGTGCTGTGTTGCTGCTCCCCCACGGATCAGTAAGTAGTAGAGAGAGGCAGGGATATGCTGTAACTTAGTATGCCTGCCTCTCTCTATACACAGTGACCCCTACTGGCCGGTGCTGGTATTGCAGAGTAATCTCTGTTTATACTGAGACTAATATTTGCATTTGTATTGCCAGTATTACTGCAATACCGTCACGGCCAGGCAGCCTCAAATACTGGCTGTGCCTTAAAATACCAGTCAGGTGGCAAACCTAAGAGTAGTGTGTAAAAAAAAATAAAATTTTTTAAATGGGCCTATTCCATGGGCGTGGGCCTGGAGCTGCAGCTCCATCAGCCCCTATGTTAATCCGGCCCTGCGTATAGTGGCAGTACTGACAAGTGGGATGTGCCTTCAATAGTGGACAAAAGCTCCCCCTTCTTTTTTAAACATACCTGTGTGCTCCGCCTGCTGCCTCTCTAAATCCTGCTCCTTAGAAGAGAACCCCAGTTCTTCTTGTCCCGGCAATGGGACGGAGAGCTCCTCCAAGGATCCAGGTGGAGAATGGTGCGGTCAACACAGGCTGCTGATCAGGGAGGTGATGGCCCAATAGCTCCCTGGGCGGGAACTGAGTGGCAGGCATACTTCCGGACTTGCGTTACGGAACGCGACCGGAAATGTTCCGTTTTATGGCCTCTTCTGGGAAGTCCCGGGCGGACCTCCCACCTACTATTCTTACGCATGCACACAGCAATGGAACGCACACCCGGGAGGTATTGCGTTCCACTGAACAGCGAATCGCGCTACTGCGCATGTGCGAATCGGTGGTTTGCAGTTTGGTGACAAATTTGAACATTTTTAAAAAGATTTGGCGCTATAAAGCTGTGCAGAACCTGTCTGAACCCCAAGGGTCCAGTCAGCTTCTCCGTGTCACCAGCCCTCCTACACGGTTGTGAGGTGTTTGAGGTGAAATTGTCAGCTTCTGTCCCAAAAAAGGACACAAGCAAATCTAAGCACTTATGTTGCCTGGAATGTGCAGTTCCTCTACCTTTTTGTCGTAAAAAACCCTGCAACCAATGCTCCACGGAATTGCTGGAGAAAGCAAAGCAATCTGATATGTCTTCGTTCCTGAGCTGGTCCCAGGAAAATTTATCCCAGACTTTTCAGTCTTTTAAAGATTCCGTGAAAAAAGACAGCGGACTGGCTGCTATTCGTGAAAGACAGAATAAGAAACGTAGGAGAGAAAGATCTCCTTCCCTATCTGAGCTCTCATCAGGGGAATGCTCATCGTCTTCGCCTTCAGAAATTTCCAGTCTGGCTTCAAGTGTGGAGGAAGGGTTTCCACAAGAAGAGCTAATAAAGTTAATCAAAGAAGTATCAACAGTTATACAGTAAGGTAAAAGACTTCCCTATGCATCCTAAAATCATGGATCTCCTACAAAGAGAGTGGAAGAATCCTGAAAGATGTGCTTTTATTTCTAAGCACTTTAAACTTCTTTTCAAACTACAATCTGAAGAAAAATGGGAAGACCTTCCCAAAGTTGACATTCAGGTGGCTCAACTATCAAAGAAGACCACTATACCTATTGGTGAGGTTTCTGGGTTGAAAGGTCCCATGGACAAGCGAGCCGAAACGTCTAGCAGAGGGATTTTCCAAGCCGCTGGCTACCAATGCATAGCGGGTTCAGCAGTTCTTAAAGCACAGAGTGTGTGGCTCAAAGCACTAGAAGAATCACTCATGGGAAAATTGGATAATGATCCGGCTCAGCTTCTGTTCCTCCTGAAACTGTCTAACGAGTTTCTTTCAGATGCCTCTGATGAGATGCCACGTTTATCCGCCAGGATCATGGGTTTGTCCTCAGTGGCTAGAAGAGCCTTATGGCTCAGAACTTGGACAGCAGATTCAGCCTCTAAAGCTGCCTTATGTTAACTACCCTTTGAGAGAAACAAGCTTTTTGGTATGCCTTTGGAAGACCCAATTAGGCAGATGTCTGAAACCAAGAAGGCTTTACCTCAAGATTCAAGACCTCAGAACTATAAAAGGTATCAGTTCAGAGGAAATTGTTCTTTTCGCTACCAGGGGAGATTTCGTAAATCTCAAAAACCTGGTGACATCAGCAGACAATGGTCAAAGCAAGATCTCAACAAGCAGGACAAAAAGAAGAAATAATGACGCCAAGAGAGTAGGAGGGCGGCTTTGGTTCTTCACTCACAAATGGAAGGATACAGCTTCAAATTGTTGGATTCTAAGAACCATTTCGGAAGGATACAGAATCCGTTTTTCTACAATACCAAAGCCATCTTTCCTGCTTTCAAGTTACCCGTCAAGGAAAACATCTGAGGCTCTCCTGGCAGAATCCCTTATCCTTTTACGCAAGGATGTTATAGACAAGGTACCCAAGCACTTGGAGTTTCAAGGAGTTTACTCACGCCTGTTCTTGGTACAAAAACCAGACAAATCCTTCCGGCCTCTCCTGGACCTCAAGGAGGTCAACACTTGCATTCCATATCAGAAATTCCGTATGGAAAGTATCTTGTCAGTCACCCACATCCTACAGAAGGGAGATTTCATGGCAAAATTAGATCTGAAGGATGCCTACCTCCATTTGCCAGTGTCGATGTTCTCACGGAAGTTACTAAGAATTGCAGTTTTAACAGGAAGACGGAAGATCCTACACTTTCCGTTCAAGGCACTACCCTTTGACCTTTCAGCAGCCCCTCGCATTTTTACAAAAATCTTGGCTCCCATAGTGGCATCTTTATGCCTGAGAGGTATCTCGATAGTTCCTTACCTGGACGATTGGTTCTTGAAAGCAGAATCAGAACAACTTCAAAGTTCACACATCAAGATCGCTATCAAGGTTTTGAAAGATCATGGTTGGCTTCTGAACCTAAAACAAGTCACAGTTGATACCTCCTTCGAGTTTGGAATTCCTGGGACTTCGGGTAGATTCAAGGTCTCTGTCTCTGTTTCTTCCGAGGTCAAAACAAAGATGGATTTGCAAGGCCATTTCAAGCCTACAAAAGGAATCATGCTCCATCAGAGAATCAATGAGTGTACTGGGGCTTCTCACTTCTGCAATCCCAGCAGTTGGTTGGGCAAAAGCAGTTTGGGACATTCTTGCTCAATGGTCAAGACTACAGGAAGAACAACATTTCAAAGGGCCTTTCTTTTGCAAAAGAGGTTGGATTACAATCACTACAGATTCTTCCCAAACTGGCTGGGGCGCCCATCTAGGTTCTCATTTCATTCAAGGAGTTTGGAATTGGAAAGAGACAAAGGCATCCTCCAACTTCAGAGAGATGAAAGCGGTATGGAAGGCTCTAAAGACCTTCGGTCCGGTTATCACCAATCAGGCAGTAAGAATCCAGTCAGACAACGCCACCACAGTGGCTTACCTAAACCACCAAGGGGGCACAAAAGTGAGAACTCTAAAGGACCTACGTTACTGGATCATGTCTTAGGCCCAATCCAGGCTTATCTCACTCTCGACGACACATATCAGAGGGTCTCTGAATGTCATAGCAGACGACCTCAGCAGGCATCATTGGTCGCAGGCAGACTGGTCACTGACACCACAAATGTTCCTTGAGTTTGTTACCTGTTTCGGCTTACCAGAAATCGACCTTATGGCCACAAGGAGAAACAGGAAAGTACCTACCTTCGCTTCTCTCCATACACGAGATTGCCCAGACTTTCTAGATGGCCTGTCTCTGACTTGGAACTACAACATGGGTTATGTTTTCCCTCCTATAGCATTGATTCCAAGGATTGTTCAAAAGATAATATGGGAGAAAGCAAGAATTCTAGCCATCTTGCCCTTCTGGCCAAACAGAAGCTGGTTCTCGGAAGTAGAAAACATGACAATCTCAAGTTGGTCTCTTCCAATTTTTACCAACGTCATAGAAAAGGTTATTCTTCCAATAGAGACCCTGGAAATGTTCCATCTGACGGCATGGCTGCTGCAAGGTTGATTCTCCGAGAGCAAGGCCTTTCAGACAGTTTGTGTACTATTCTTCTATGTTTGGTCCGTTTATCAACTTCCAAAATTTATTTAAGAATTTGGATGAAGTTCAGGAACTGGTGTTCTCAACAGGTTTCAGATCCTGCTATAGCCTCTATCCCTTATATTCTCTCTTTTTTGCAGGATGGTTTTGTAGCCGGCCTAGGGGTCTCTACACTCAAGGTTCAGATTTCTGCATTAAGCCACTTCCTTGTCCGTGACATTGCCTCTGACTTGCTTATCCGCAGATACTTTAAAGCTTTACGTCTGAAATGTCCTCCCAAGCTCTCTCCTTTTCCTACCTGGGATTAGTCCTTGGTACTTCAAGCCCTTTGTGAACCCCCATTTAAACCATTACAAGAGGTTCCCCTGAAACTGCTTACTATCAAAACAGCATTCCTGGTAACAATCACCTCAGCAAGAAGGATTGGGGAAATTCAGGCTCTTTCTTCGGCTTCTGAATTTACTATCTTCCATCAAGACAAAGTGGTCCTGCACCCCAGACCTTCGTTTCTGCCCAAGGTTATTTTTAGTAAATCTATGAACCAACCTATTGTTCTGCCTTCCTTCTGACAATCTCCTTCTTCGGATCTTGAAAGTAAGTGGCATCTGCTTGATGTTAAAAGTGCATTGGAAATCTATCTTCAGAGATCACAATGCTTTAGACAATCTCTTTGTCACTTTTCAGGGCTCTAGTAAAGGTAGTGCTGCATTCAGACCTTCTATATCCAGATGGCTAACGGATACCATAAAATTGGCTTATCAAACCAGAGGGGTTCTGATTGGACTTCCATTGAATGACCACTCCACGAGGGCTATGGCAACATCATGGGCTGAAAGAGCAGCAGCCTCACCTGAAGACAACTGCAAGGCGGCTTCTTGGTCTTCATTTCATACCTTTATTCATCATTATAGGTTGGACATATTCTCATCCTCTGAAGACGTAAGGTGCTCCAGGCGGTGGCCTTCTAAGTTCCCACTCTTTGTTTGTTTGCAGGGATCTTGCTATATCCCACTTGTCAGTACTGCCACTATCTATGAGGAAAAACAGTAATTTTACTTACCGTAAATCCTTTTTTCTTAGTATAGTGGCAAATTACTGTTTTCCAGCACTCCACGGGTCAGCTAGTGATGGCCGCGCCCACAATGATGTCTCTTTGGCTGACATCATCAGAACTGAGATCGCCAAGGAGGCAGAGTTGGGCCAAAGCCACCCTGGCCAATCAGCATCTCCTCATAGAGATGCATTAAATCAATGCATCTCTATTAGGAAAGTTCATTGTCTCCATGCAGAGGGTGGAGACACTGTATGTCATTGTGCAGCACTGCCGAAGGAATCACCTTTAGTAGCCATCTGAGGAGTGGCCAGTGGAGGTATCCCTAGGCTGTAATGTAAACACTGCATTTTCTCTGAAAACAAAGTGTTTACTACAATAAGCCTGAAAGGAATGATTCTACTCACCAGAACAAATACAATAAGCCTAATATTGGAGTGTTCACTGGCACAGACTGAATTTCTGTGCTGCTGAAAAAAAAGTCAGTATCTATTGCAAGCTTTTTTCCACATACCCTGTCAGGGTATTTATATCGGCAGACATCTTGTGCTATGATAGAAATTAAAAGTGTGTATTCTGAGTCACTCTGAACAGACCAGACTCCATTTTGTTATTTTCAAGCTAACAAAAGACACAAGATTTCTTTCTGTAAAACTAACCACTTTCCCAGAGCTAAAGGAATGCATAGTATATACAAACCAAGTGATAAGGAGAACGGGGTTTGGATAGACTGTCTAAATGCTAATGGAACAGATCAATTCTAAACCCAGACATTTGTGACAGAGAAGATTAAATAATAAAATTTAACTGTCTATATGTATAAGGTCCCATTGTAAGTTATGGGTCAAAACTCAGATTTGCCAGACACATAGTCTCGACAAAACTTAAAGAAACTGTTTGATCTGACAGCAAAAATGTAAGTTATGGTAGTCATTTTAGATTAGCAAAATGACGTCAAAATAGCCACCAAGAAAAGTTAACTCTTTCCTGGATAGGTATGTTTAGTGGGACAAGACTGCCCTCTATAGACCAAATACCTAAATTGCGATCTGGAAGATAAGCACACCTCTAGTGCTTCTATTGGGTTATCAACTGATGACGTACAGAGAGTCTGGCCCTTTAAAAGTTAGGACAAAGGGAAGATAGGGGGATGCAAAGAAAGGAAAAAGAGGAGAGAGGAATTGGAAGTTTGGGGACTCCAACTCGGACAACATCTGAGACTAAAACTCTACTCTTAAAACTCTAACACTTAGAATTTCACTGACTTTCTAACCAACACCACCTTTCACCATAACTCATGCACCTACAGACATCCAAATAAGTTCCTGAGACTATCTACCAATCGGATGATGAAATATCTACTCAACTGGTAATTATACTGGTTTCATTTAATTAATTAAATTAATTAAAATTTACTAATAGCATTAGATATGACTGGATAAATCACGGTCAGATTTCCATATTAAGAAATCTTAGTTAACTAAAGAATATATAGTTATAAACATTCCATTCTGCAGGTGGAATTAAGAATAATTATATATTGATGTGATATTATCACGTGTTAGCATACCACTGTTTTTATCCAGGTGTATTGATTTGCTATAAAATAAGATAAAAGATCTATTTAGGCAAATTAAAAACAAATTCTGCTTTTGTAAAAATATGGTAGATTCTCTTATTGGATGGTTCCAGGAAATGACTAATGAACTGGTTTAAATGTTATTTTATTTAAAATTACATAAGAATAGATCTTAATTATCTAGGAAATCTAGCCAGCATTGAAAGGGTTATTCTAACTGTTAGCCAGGGTTTTATGGCCCTTCGCTGTGAAAAGTTTTGCATATCATTTTATACTGGATATTCATTGATTATTGTCACGCATGTTACATATTATTATTATTAATTAATGGTTATTATAAATAAATCTATTTTTATAACAAAATTGCGATATTATTTATATGGTATACATTTCACTTAACACGATAAACGTTCTTTGGGATCTGAGAATTGAATTAGTGGGCAATTCTCACTGTTACTATTATTATACCATAAATATCCCCACAACCCCCAAAGAAAACATGCATGTAAAATAAATACATATTTTTGTGTGAATATATCTAGTAATTTGTTAAAATATATATATATGTAAAAAAAGTGTTCCTTTAAGGAGTTTTCTGTGTTGTGTGATAATATAAGCTTACGTAAAATCACAGTATAAGTGCATACTGTCATATATCTACTAAATTAATATGACAGCATACTAAATCCTTCTAGACATTTACCTGTAAACCAGATCAACTATAATTTTCATCTGTCAGCTTTGGAATGTCAACA